CAGAACTACACAGGACTAGTTACAAGGATACAGATGATCTAGACAACTGTGCTTTAGATGCTATACTTGAAGTAGAACCAAGCACAGAAGTCACAGACTCCTGATCCAAGAATGCACAATTTTTCAATATACCCTCCTAGTCTTGTACTGGAAACTAAAATATAAGGATTGATTCCCTACCAGCAACACCTAACAGTTGTGTAAATCTGTAAATACTGTGTTCTACCACACTTCCCTATGCTTTGTTATGTTTTATATTCACATACTTTTGATCTTCTGTTACATTCCTTCTCATTTATGATAAATTGCAAAAAGCCTATACAACATTCTATAAGTATATAAACCTTTATACAAATTATGATTCTTTTCCCCCTATTCCCATCCTATTCCACTAGTTCTATACATAAATCATAAAAATATCCATCCATCTATTCCATTCCTCTTAACTCTCTATTTTATCTATTTTCCTATCCATTCTATCCATTTCTGTTCCATTCTGTTTATTCCTTATGTTTCTGGTTTTTTTTTCATAAAAACAAAACTGGACTTTTATTTCTCTACTTTCTACCCTGTTCTATTTCCTACTCTAACTCTTCCACCCTACTATCTACAGAGGCTTCTGCTACCATGGCTAAGAAGTTGATACCCTGCCTTAGAGCTATAATCTTTGTATCAAACTTGTTCTTCATCATCATCAGCTACAACTCCAGGTTGTTCAGCTCCTTAGTCATCTGTGAGTGGAGGTTGCAGACTGTTCCAGCTTTACTATACATGATCAGAGGGATGACAGAACACAGGTTCTGAGTTGTACTATACAATTCTGCAGTTTGCCCCCTAGTCTTATACCAGATTCCCTTCAGGCTACATCCAGAGTGGCAGAATATGCACACTGTACACTGGTTTTCTATACAAATGATCACTATTAACACAGTCAAAAATAAGATTGAAACAGACTTACTTGGATTACTGTAGTACAGCCAATCCATCACAGTCTGGTGAGTGGATCCCTGAGGACTCTTGTGCCTCTCTGTACACTTCACACACTCAGGTGTGTGGAAGACCATTCCCTCCACCCAATCCAGAGGGATATCCTTGTCCTCCTTGCTTGAAGACTCTACCACAACCTTCTGGTTTTTTACACATGTTTCCTTGCTAGAGACCAGAATCTCCACCTCTACAATAGTGTGCTTCTTGCTTAGGAGCACTAGTACTGGCTCTAGACAACAAAATAGAGTCAGTATACTCAGAAAATCAACTACCCCTTATCCACATTACCTTTTTCCTTGCTTTTGTCCTCTTTCTTCTTTTCTGGGTTTGTAACTGCTTAAGGAACTAGGAGAAACATTGTATTAGCTTGGCACAATTTGTTAGCCATACTTGTACTTACTGACTATGACTTGTTTCTCCTTCCCATCCCTTCTTGTATTGACCTTCTCTTTCTCTACAACTGGCTTTTTCTTTTCTAGTTTTACAACTTCTTCAGGAACTAGGTAAAGACAACATTAGTAGTGTATGATTCATTAGCTATACATTTAATTCATACCTGGCTTGTTCCCCTTTTCTACTACCACTTTCAACCTTTCTGCATTTGCAACAGTATCAGAACCTGTGTAAATAGTTAGTTATTATACACAATTTGTTAGCCATACTTGCACACATACCTTTAGACCCCTCCTTTTCCTTCCTATCCTTCTGCTTTGTTGCTGACTGTGCTAAGGCTGTAGCCTTCTCCTTCTCCTTCTCCTTCTCCCTCTCCTTCTCCTTCTCCTTCTCCCTCTCCTTTCCCCTCTCCTTCTCCTTCTTTACCTTGGCCTGAGCCTCTTCCTTAACCTTGGCCTACATTACTTTCTCAGCCTCTGCCTTCACTTTAGCTCTAGTAGCAGCTTTGTCCTCCTTTGCTTTTGTAAGCTCCTCTACTGTTGCCTTACAATCTATAAGATGTTCTGTGTTAGTAGACAGATTGGAAATCAGGAAATAGGAGACTTACTACTAGATTGACCCTCTACTAGCACAGACAAAACCTCCTTGCCCTCTGAATTGTTGTCATTGTGAGCATTATTGTCTGAGCTCTCTTTGTCTTCAGACTCAGGATCCATGGTTGATCTGTTGGTTTCCTCCTTTACAACCTTGTCCTCTGGTTTGTTTTCTGTATCAGAACCTGTAGAGCACATTAGCATATGAGCCAGAGACAATGTGCTTCACAGAGGTACTTACTGAGTGTATGTTCAACTAGCTTGTCATCCACATCCATTCCCTTACTAGCTACTACATTGTTGTGCACACAATTTCCAAGGAAAATCACAAAATCAGTATAAAAAGAGTGGAAAAGGGTGTAACACTTACTGTCGAATTTGCTAGGGAGTAGTAATGACATGGTGAGAGTGATGGAAGGAAGCAGGAAGAATAAGCAACAATGTTCACACACACACAGAACTTACATTCAGCCCACTAATCATTAAATCAACCATGTGACTGTAGACAGTCACAAGCAGACATGCTAGGAGATGAAACAATCAGCATTATACTAAGAACCATACATTACATGCAGACAATCACAGCAATCAATTCCAAACACCCATGTGACTCATAGAAGCCTACTCTAAGAACACCCAACTATTCTGCATCACAAGTATTTACAAACAGAACTGTAAGAGTGTACAGTTTCAGAATTGGCTTAGACACATTGTTTTCTCTACAGGATGTACAGATCATGTACTTATCACAGGCTCAGAACACAAGTTGTGTCACAGTGAGTGGCTCAGCAAACCATTATGTCATCATTGCCCAGATCAAAGTACTGCAATCTTCCTATCAGATAGGACATTAGGGCAATCAAAGTGTTGATCTCAGGAGACCACCAGAAATCTTGGAACTCTCTGCATTTGTCTGTACTGATCAGATGATAATGGTATGAGAACCTTCTATTTCTTTCAATGTAAATCTTGCTTTTCCCTTTTGTATAACATTTCCTGTGGCTAGAATGCAGACCACTTAAATTTTCCTCATGCATTTTCACCCTATTTTCTTCCAACCTCTGGCAAAAGGTTCTCTTATTTGTTCTTGTATATTTCATTATTTTTCTTTTGTTCAGTCATGACACTTCCCTGTTAGTACTATGCTTTTCCAGAACTCAGAAAACTATAAATACAGCTACTCATGTACTAGATACAGGGGGAATTCAGATAGTTCACCCATTGATTTAGCTCTCATCTCTTGTCTCAAAGTCCTCTAGTGTGAGGCATAGTTTTAGTCTTTGTCATTTTCCATATCAGATTGTTTGTTGTGCACTTTGTAAAGTGTACTTTCTGTTATTCACATCACTCTTCCAAGGTTGCAACTGTGCCAGAAGAACTCACACCTGTTCAGAACCACTCTAGTCTCCTATGACTTGTGGTTTAGCTCCCCCTCAAACTTAACAAATCACCTGTGATCTTCTCTTAGACACTTTACAGGAGTTTCACTATACTTTTTATCTTTTGTACAAAACATATTTGCCTGTCCACATATTGTAGGCTTGTTATTATTGTATTGTATAAGGTTTTTTAATGTGAAAATTATTAAATGCTTGACATAGTACTGTAATAAGTCTTTATAGCTTGATAGGTTAATACTTAGATTTGGGTTTTCCATTGTAAAACATATCTCAAGCTTGTTCCATAACTGTAATAGTACTACTGTATTTGGGAGGGGTTACAGTATAAATAGCTACTTGATACATAGTGTCTGTAGGTTTTAAATTGTCTGCTACTAACTGTATATATATCTACTCTAGTTTATCAAGTACTTGTCTAAAGTTTTTAATGTGATCATTGTATTTAAATAGTAAAGACTTATTGTATACTTTACACATAACTGTATAAGGGTTGAATCATTCTTCTAATCTACTCATAAGAGTTTTAATCAACATTCTGGTATGTATAAAGTTAGCTATTATATAATCTACTAGTTTATCAATTATTAATGTATAAATTGTGTACACAACCTTAATGTCTTCAGGCTTTAGTTCATTTGTAAACAAGTGTATATAGCCTGTTACTATAATAGTAGAGTTAATTCAATACTTTCATATTTTGAATCTGGATGTGTCTTTTAGTTGTACAATGTTATGTCTAAAGTGTTTAGGGACATTAACAGGTTTGTAGTAAGTAGGATTTGTCCTACTTGTCTGCTCTAGGGTTGTAGATGGATTTGTTTCAGTTCTGATTAATGTGTGTGTATTATAAGTACTTGGGGAGTCTATCATAGATACATAGTATTAATGTAAAGTAGTGTAGTATAGTCTTGTAGTAGTAATATAAGGTGTTAAGTAGAGAGTACAAGGCTCATAACCTGTTAGAATGTGTATTCTTAGGTTATTACACAAGTAATAAGGGTGTAGACTCTGATAATGATTTGTATTTAGTTAATAAGTTGTTTGTTTTTATATTATTTGTCTGTCTGTCTGTCTTAGACATCTAATGTATCATTATCTTATATCTGATACTTATTGTATGTCTGATACATGTCTTGTATTATATATCTAATACATGTTTCTTAGTTCTGCATCTGTTCTGTTAGTTCTGTGTCTGTTCTGTTTGTATACATATTAATCATTTTTCTAATACTGTATTGTCTGTAATTGTATTATTGATTGTAATACATGTTAACATTACAGTTTGTAAGTAAAAGAAAAAAATTATACATAAGATTAAGCTGATAAAATTAGTATAACAATATACTGTATATTAAATATACTACATATACAAGACTTTAGACAAATATACAACAACAGCCCTCTCTATACTACTATCTTAGAAGGAACAAGACATTTGACACTTTTGTACCTTTTTAGAAGTTATTTCATTATAAGTTTAAAGGATACAGACAGACATAGTACAAATGGAGAGGCTAGTTATTTATTAAGAACTATAAGTACTATTAAATTTGGTGAAGGTATACTTACTATATAGACTTTTGTAATACTTGTCAATACTAGTACAGTAATGTTAACCATTACACTAAAAGGCTAGTATAATCACTGATTAGTAATCCATACCTTACACTCTATATAAGTACATGTTACCAAATTGAGACACTATCCTTTAGTAGTCTTTCACATGTAGTAAGCTACTAAGCTTACACTCCTCCACACTTTCTAAACTTTATAGTGTGAGTTTTCCTTATATAGAGCCTTAAGGGTTACCATTTCTGGCAGAGCCTTGAGCTGGACCTGTTCAACCTACTCTAGGGATTAAACTGCCAACCTTGATTAGTGATTATGTAATGCTTGTCAACACTAGTGTAGTAATGTTAACTATTACACTAAAAGGCTAGTATAATTACTAATTAGTAATCCATACCCTACACTCTATATAAGTATATGTTACTAAATTAAGACTCTATCCTTTAGTAGCCTTTCACATATAGTAAGCTACTAAGCTTACACTTTCTACATTAAACTAGACTGATTTGTTTTAGGTTCTCTAGTAATACAGTGAAACCTCTCATTAAGTATTACTCTTGTTAAGTATAACCTCTCATTAAGTATGACATTTCAGGTCTACCATTACTCTTGTAGACACTAGAATTTTACTTGTTAACAAGTATAACCTCTTAATAAGTATTACTTTTTATGTCTACTAAGGGTAATACTTAATAAGAGGTTTCACTGTAGTTTCCTTAAATAAGGAGAGTGTTACAGTTCTCTACTCTTGTACCTTCAGTTCTAAGGGTTCTACACTCTTCTGTACCAGAATTCAGAACTTCTGTCCCTCAGAGGTACTGTTTATAGACTATATGTATACTGACTCTTACTACTACCCCTCCTTACTTTATTATTCTATTCCTTTGACCACCCTTTCATTCTTTGTTTATTCTATAGTCTCTTACCCTTTGTCTATCCCTTCATTCTTTATACCTTTATCTTTAACCTTCCTTTCTTTCATTCTTTATAGCTTATCATTCTTAGTAGCTTATACTTCCTAAGTACTCTTGTATAGTTTAGTATATATAGGTATACAAGATCAGACTAGTTCTATAGTCTTGATCTTGTCTACTCTAGATAGTCCTGTACTCTTAGACTCACTCTATATACTCTACTCTTGTCTTACTCTCTCTCTCTGTCTGTTTTACAAGTTCTAACTACATTCTAGTACTTACATTCTGTATTTCTGTTGTGTAGGATAGTTGTAGCCTGAGTCCTCTTACTGAGCCTTTAGGTCCCCTCTACACTATTACTAACATTAGATTAAGACTACCTATTACTACCCTACAACTCTCTTATGTTTCAGGCATTAAGGTAGGGAAAGTATAAACTCAACCAACCTCATGTAACCTTAATTGCCTTTTTTGGCCTCACACTTAGACAACAAAATACTATCTTCCACACACTACAAATTAAAAATGTAATTCCATCAAAATATTTGTATTTAAAGTAGCTACAAATTGATGGTTTTATTTTTCAAAAATATTAGAAAATGCCTGACTTATTTCCAAAAGAAGCTTTTTTTGACTTAAACACTCTAGAATGTCCTTAGCAACATTCTGGCAAGAAAATAACTTTTTTTGAGTTTTTAGGTTTTTGATTTTTGCCACCTCAGGTAACCATAATATTACAAATAACTGCCTTATTTGGTATATACATAATCATTAGTCATTATTACAGTATCTATATCTACATGACTTCTGTACACTACTAATGCAACTCAGTCAATAATGCCCTACTGAAAGAAAGTAATACAAGCTAGAACACAAAACCTGTACAGTAAAGGAGGAGCTGTATCATTTGATTTGTTTAGAAAGTAAGTATCTTTTTCAAATATTTATGTATGTAGTTTTATTGAATTTCTTTCATAGGTT